GAGCGTAGAGCTTCTTCCTGCTCACGTTTAAGTCTAATCCTTCCAGAACTGATTCCAAAGCTGAGTCAATAATCGCCATCAGAGCCACGACTATTCCGAGAGAGGGCCGCTGCAGACGGGCTACGGTTAGCCCTGGCTGCCATTAGCCTCGGAGCTCCGCTGGTTGCAGCTGTCCTCTCAACTTTAGGAAATTGTTTTTTTAATTACGCATTAAATCGCTAAATGGACCATATAGTGACGCTTTAAAGTATAATATTCTTACTTCAAATGATCTTAAAACATACTTTTATTGATCAGAGACAGAAAGAGAACTTTTAACTTGTGATGGAGCGCTCCATTGAAAGCTGCTACTGTTCTATAGTTGTTGCCATCTTCCTTATTGTGCAGCTTTGTCGTCACGCCCTCAAAACCCCGCCTGCTTTGCATCCAGACATTCAAAACACATCTCTGCGTTGTGATTGGCCCGCCAGATTCAGGGCCTGGTGCATTGATCGAGGCTAGACCACTCACTGGCAAAAATTCTTTTGCCACCGCTGGTGGGTGGGGCTAGTTTACTATGCTAAGGCTCTGGATGAACTGACTGTACAGATGAAGTTTTCAGGAGGACTTTCTCACTTAAAAATATGTNGCTGGTGGGTGGGGCTAGTTTACTATGCTAAGGCTCTGGATGAACTGACTGTACAGATGAAGTTTTCAGGAGGACTTTCTCACTTAAAAATATGTTAAAATTACTTTTTACCCGCTGATCACAGCAAATATAGCAAAGCTGCTCTCTGCCATTGAACACAGGAGCAGCAGAAGCATCAGACGCATCAGGACACACTTTACCGCACGTGCTTCAAGAGCGTCAACGATGCACTCGAGGAACGTCAGACTTTAATGTGTACAAGCATCATAAATATAGCGGCAGAAGCTTTTTCGCTGCTAAAATAGGGTGTGGTGTGAACAAAGCATTAGGCAGCAGCTACATATTTACATGTTTTCAGTCAACTTTCCCTGAAGACCAGGCTAGCGTACGCACCAACTACAGCCAGGGTAACCAATTAAAAATCAGCGGGGTCCGAATACAGAAAATTATCAACCAGTAAAGGTCCGGACACATTTCTAATTATAAACTGTTGCTTTAAACAGATTTTAACACTTAACCTCTTAACGTCACCTCATTTTGGGTAATCCTCACCTATTTTGCATACCCAAATGAAAAAAGCAGATAACTTAGGAACTGTAAGACCAAATTACGTGTGCAAAACATTATTTGAAAGCTAAAACCCTCTAGTTTTTGAATATATAAAATTGGGTAAGTAGAACACAGACCAACCTGCATCAGTTCAGACATGTTTCAAAGTTGTTGTTTTTTTATTGTCAGAAATGATAGGTCTTTTTTCAACAGCAGTGATAAATACATTCTTCGGAAAAAACAGGTTTTATTGTATTATATTTGTTCTACATCATG